GTTTGTATTTGTGTATGTGTATTTATTTACCTGCTTTTCTATGCATATCTGTGAACGTATGACATAATTCTTGCTGCCAGCCAAGTGTCCAGTTCAGGAAAAAAACCCTAAAACTCAAATAAATTGGTCCCTAAATGACAGTCAGGCTTGTCTAATGGGTGATGCGTATGGCCGTTATACATAGAATAACATTTGCTTTGCTACAGCTGTTGTGGGCTGCTCCTTTCAAGCCAGATGCCAAGTGGCACAAAGGGAGTCTTACAGCAGATACATGGTGTGGTCCTGCCATTTTTTACTATTTATAGCTGTTCCCTATCCAGCAGGAGATTTATTAGCCAAAGCAGCTTGATCTGACACCAAGAACTGGGTAAAGCTTGTTCCCGAGTGGCACAGGAGCTGCCCTCGCTGTCGCTCCCTCGAGGACTAAGGGGATTTACAGCTGCTGGGGTCTCACCTATGAGGTCTAAGAAGATGTGAAATGTCAAAGCGATTAAACCCTAATCTCTGGGAATGTTCCCAGCTAATCTTTGCCCAGACCCCTAAGTAGGGACATGGATTAAGGCAGCTTGGGGCTGGGTGGGGGATTGCCAGCGCTCAGCTCGGTTGCACCAGCAGGAGCATCTCCCTTACCAGGGTTGGACCCAGCCTGGGGTGAAGAGGACAACATTTTGGGGCTTGCAGTGGGCAAGAGGTGGGATGATCTAATGGGTTGAAGGTGATGATGGTGACAAATAAACCTTGTGGGTCTGGGTCAGTGCCATGCATGGGGTGATGGTCCCCTGTGGGCCACCAGTGACAACCCATGTCTGACCAGAACCTCCTCTCCTGGAGGATCTGATCTTTTCAGTCCTTCAAAAACCTGAAGTAAAATAAAGTGAGGAAGTAGAGCCCTTGTAAGAAGGAAGCAGCCCTTCCCCACGCAGATCAACATCCCCTGTTTGCAAAGCCTTTGAGGAAATGTTTGATAGAGACACAAAGGGTTGAATCACCGGCTGCCGAAAAGCCCCAAGGAGGGGAATACCTTGCAGGGGCTCTGTCTAATTTGGCCCAGGGTAATTAGGACTGTGAAAACATCAAACCCCACTCCTGGTTTCTGCCTGGTGGTGCCAGCAACAAGCACAGCACCAGCACCGTGCTTCCTTTTGGCCGGGAACCAAGCTGGGACACTTCTACTGCAGGAGAAACCGAAGCCGCTCTTGTGTGTTTGCACCCATCACGAGATTCCTGTCCCCTGCCTGGAGCCCAGGGGACTGTGCTGGGGCTGTGACCGGGGCAGGGCGAGCTGGTGTTGGGGACATGGTGGGGGCCTGGCAGGAGGATCATGCGATGTTCCTATTTGTTTTGCATGTGAGCTCATGCAGTGCCAGGTGTGGGTTGGGATTTGCATGGAGCAGAAAAGGATTTTGTCTCCTTGCTGACTTCCTGGAGGACATCATCTTCCCTCGGCGCATGGGATGTGTCTGCCAGGCAAAACACCAGTGAGAAAAACAACTAATCTCTCCCATTTCCTTCTGCGCTTTTCCCAATACCATGGCTGAATCAAATATCCTCCTTCTGTGATCGCTGGACGTTTCCCCACCCATTGGGGCAGCGGTGTTGGCGAAACAAGGAGCAAAACCTGCACATCCCTTTGCACAACGGGCTCCTGGTCCTGAATAACCCAACTGAAAGCAGGGATGCTGCCCCAGCGCGGCACAGTGGGATGAGGATGGGAGCAGCCACGGCTGCCGTTAGTGCAGCACCCCAGGGCTGGCGGCTCCTGGAGCCCAGGTCCCTTCTTGTGAGCAACTCCAGCATCTTGGTTATCTCTTAGTTATAAAATTGAGACCCTGATTTCCTGTGGCCACTGAAGACATTCAGAAAGTATTAAAGAAGGGCAAGTTATTAACCCTGGGGTTTTGATTGGTTTCCAACTCTCGGTATTACCTTCATCCTTCCCTAAAAGCCCTGCTGCGGCTTCAAACAGCTAAAGCAATCACCTCGCCTGAAAATCCCTGGGATCACAGACACCAGCCATCTGGGCACTGATCCTGCCTGGGCAAAAAGCAGCCCGGCGCCCTGCACAGCCCCCTGCCCGCCCAGTGCTCAGGGTGAGTCGGGGGGCCTTCTCCTGAAAGCATCTCAGGCTGCTTCTGGGATCTTGCGTCTCCAAAGTCATTAGTCCCCACTAATCCTGCTTTGCCAAGTGCCAGGTGGGGGAGGGCAGCTTAGAAAATCAGCCTGGCACTTAATGAGCCAATTAATGCAAAATTCGCTGTCACTAAGAGGATGATGACAAGGTTTCATCTCACGGGACTGTGGCACCGGGCCAGGGAGGATGCTGTCTCCTGGGATGCTGTCCCGGGGCATCGGTGTTGGCAGCAGATGAGGGTGCAGGGCAGATTTTGCAACCCTCTGCTGCCTTGAGAAGCCCCCCGTAATTCATTACAGGACAGAGCAATTTGTGGGTAATGCTGTGATGTGGCTGTGCACCCCCTCGGCTGGCAGACACCCAAGGTGTGTCCCCAAAGCCCAGCTTCTCCTGGGCTTTGAGGATCCCAAGGGGAGCCCGGGGTGTCTGGGCATGCCCTGAAGTCCTCGCAGGTCTGAGCTACTGGCTTTTGGGGTGCTGCCCTCCTCTTGCCAGATCGGGCATCTCCATCCTTCCCTGTGCATGGACACTTGTCCTCTTGTCCATCCTGCCTTGCCTCCCCTGCCCCTCTCCTGGGGCTGGCCCTGCCTTGGCATGGAGCTGTGCTGTTTGCTGGGCTTTCTCCTTCTTAGGGACCTTCTCACATTCACTGTGCACCTCCCCACGGAGCTACTCACTTGTCTTCTTGCAGGGATAATGGCTTTTTTGTGGCCACCGCACCGTCCTTCATCATTTGGCTCTGGGAATGGAAAATCCCATTAAATACGTTACTTCATGGCAGCTGCAAGGGAAGAAACTATTACGAGATGCCCGAAGGAGAGTCTGGGGGGAGAACATCTCCCAGCTCAGCTTGGCCGGTGTTTGCACTCACAAAGTGCTTCTGGAGCACCACATTTTGTGGCAAGTCCAGCTCCTATGGGAAAACTGTCCTTGTGCCTTGCACTGCATAGAGAAACGTGATCCCACAGGTCCCATGGGATTGTTTAGACCTTTCCTGAAGCTTGGCAGCTGGGGCTGGGCTCGCCTGAGGAGGTACAAGTGCTGAGCGAAGCAGGAGCATCCTAGGCCTCTTCCATGCAATGCCTGTTGGATTCCCCAGGGGCCTGATGCCCATAATTGGCAGTTACTGCACAGAGAACATGGAAAAAATTTCTTCCAGCATGCAAACACTCATGTACTTCTGATGCACTTGCGTGTTCAGACCAGTCACAGTGAGAGATTATAACTTTTGCCCTTCTTCTACCTGCAGATGTTTGCTAGTGCTGGAAGAAGGTTCTTTAAATGAAGGCATTTGCTTTCCCAAGGGCTGGAGGAGACAGTGGCATGAATCACACAGCTCGGGTATCACCAGAGGGCTGATGGAGAGGCTCGAACATATTGGAGACTCACCCAATGAGGGCATAATGTAAAACCAACATCAAACGGAAAGACAAGAAATGAGAAGACCAAATGCAGTAAGGCTGTTTATCTACAGCAGGACATGGTCACATGCAAATGCCCTAATTCAAGCAGTCGTTCACCTCCGGGATAGCTGAGATCTTGTTTCAATATATCTTTGAGCTGCCAACTTGCTCTTGCTTGTCCTGTTGTCCAGGCAGCAGCCGCTGAGGACAGCCTTGGCCATGCCGAGTGACATTTATCTGGGGGGTTTGCAGGCAACGGTCACCTGCTGATGGGCAGCAACCCAGGGTTGCTGGAAACTTCAACCCAGGACATTTTGCACATAAAGGTGGGGGCTGTCTGCCCCCAGGTATCGCACAGGACACGATTCTTGTCGTGGGGACCCAGCAATGCCTGGAGAGGCCAAGGAAAAACATAGGAAAATTTGGGGTGAAACAGCATTGCAAAGGTTGCATCAGGATGCTGGGACTGTCCTCTAATTTCTTGTACTGTCCTGGCCAGGCTGGTGCACCAACACGGTGAGTGAAAGATCTCTCCTTCAGCCTGTCTGTTACTATATACATGCCCATGTTCTGTATGTATATACAACCTTGAATGTAACAACATACGTAATATTCATTATATAGTGTGCACGCTGTATGTATTTGGACAACATAAGCAACAGAGTATTTAGTAATATTTAAAAAATACATCTGTTTAAGATGGCAATTTTTGTTCTGCATGTTGGCAGCAGCATTAGGTTATTAAGGCTGAAAAGGCACTAGAAATCTACTGAATTTCTCCCTGTTTATTAATTATCACCCAGCCAATGAAGACAGCCTGAAGGCAGTTTGATTTTGGTTCAGTAACCCCAGATTCGGGGAACACGGTGCTGCTGTGGGCATCCTTCTGGGGCTTTACAGAGCACAGTGCTGGAGTGGGGGAAGAGAAAAGCAAATCCAGCTCCCTGTTTCCCCCCCCCAAAGGATATCCAAGAATCAGACAAGGACAAAACTCTTTCAATAGGGAGCAAGTAGAAGTAATATTTCCAAACCTAACCCAACATAACGCCCTGCATCCACCCCTTGTGTAACACCCTCTGGCTTTAAGTGTCTTATACAAGCCTCCACTCACTCGGTACTGAGCTGTGCCTAAGCTGGGATTGATGGAAAATCCTATTTAGGAAAACACCCTTGATGAAGAAAGCATGAAGCAAAGAGGAAATTTTACATGGATGTATCCAAGTGTGACGGCCACAGTAATGCGGGGACCATTTCTGGGAGGGGTCCCAGGGCACTTCAGATCACTTGGTATAAAAGGTGAGCCTTGATGCAGCCCTGAGCATCTGAGCTGGCTGTGGTTGAGGATTACAAGAGCTGTTTTGATCAGGGGAAAAATTCTGTTTTTAGCACAGGCAGCAATTAAAATAGCTCGTGAAACTAAACGCCTCAGGGAGCTGTCATAAAAGGAGGTAGAAAATCCATCTTCTGGACTCCTCTGCAGCCAGAGACAAGCCTGGAGAAAGCAGAGGAGAAAAGAGCTCAAGGTTCACCTGGTGAAAAAAGACAACCATCGAGCCAGATACGCCAATTTGATCTCAAGATGGCTGAGGGGGATCTCCGGGGTTCGAGCACCCGTTTCTCGCTCTCCTTTTCGGGCAGTGGCTTTCTCGTCCTGTACCAGGTTGGAGTGGTGCAGTCCCTTCTGGAGCTGGCTCCCGAACTCCTCAAGTCCGCGTGCAAGGTCTATGGGTCGTCCGCCGGCTCGCTCATCGCCGCCGCCGTGGTGTGCGGTGTCAGCCTCGGTAAGACAATTACTGCCTAGATTTCCTTACTATCGATTTTTTATTTCAAAATAGAAATAGAGAACTAATGCCTTAAAACACCAGTGGGGATGTGATACTGGTGTAACTCACATCACTCACAAGGCATAAAAGAAATCTGCAGATGTTGCCACTTTTGGCAGCAATTTTGGGTGGTGTGAGCTGAAAAAGCCAGTTATTACTGTCTGAATGTTATCTCAGATGGTCAGGTAGATACTGCATGGGTAAATCTGGACGTACCTGTATTTTATTGGTTCATTTTCCTGCTCCTGCTGAAGGAGCAGATCTCCTTCTCTTCTGCTACGAGGTCTAAGGAGTGCTGAGATATGTCCCAAAGCAAGTCTACATGGCCACAGTAGGTGGATACACCCATGTAAAGCCCCCTTCTCCCCTATGTATCAGGTCCCTTGGCATCTTTAGCTACAAAGGGACATGAGTGGCAGTCACGCAGGTATCTCTAGAGCTGACAGCCCTGTTTGTTTGCATGTTGCTTTGGGTTATCCCACTCAACCTTCCCAGCACAAGGGAAGATGTGGCACGATTCCCGTTTCCAGATAGCAGAGCACTTTTCCCCTTGGCAAAAGCTCAAGGGCTCGTCAGTAGGACATTCCCGGGAGAACAGCAGTCCCCGCTCCAGCCCGGAGCTGGGGTTTCTCTTATTGCTGCAAAAGAGGTTTTACTCTGAACCTCTTTAGATAATGTGGAAACAGGGCCCCCAGCAATAAGATCATCTATGTGTAGAATTAATTCAGAGCAGTTAATCCACTTTTAATAATCACATCCTCTAATATTTCCAATTAGTGTCCATGGGTAAACAAGTGTACACAAGACTAAGTCTTTGAAGGCTGATCCATGCCCTGCTTCAAGCAATGGGGACATTTAGGAGGAGCGGGGGTTTTAGGGTCCAAATAATGATGGAGGAAGCAGGGAGGAAACGTGCAGTTCCTGAAACCTCTGCTGGATGCTAGAACCACTCTGCTGGATCTACAAATAATTCAAAACTTTGGCAAATATATTTAGACAAAGCAGAAAGGAACCTTTCTGTCCATAAGGGTATGAACTCCTCTACAAATCAGCAAAGGCCCCAAAACTTTCCTCTCTGATTCCTCATGCTGGAGTAATTGGATGGAGGTGAGGCTGTCCAGCAGGTATAAACCAGTTTGGTAACTGCTCTTTCTGTGGGCACCAGCACTGAAATGGAGGTCTGCTTCACTGGGGGTGGGCGACACCAACCACTTAGAGGTGCTGAGAGGATCTTGGGCCCAAAACACCTTCCCCAGGAGAAGAAAAGACCTTTTGGGTAGTGATGACTTTGGTTGGGTTTCTAATAAGGAAAATGAATGTGGCACAAACTCTGTCAAGTTCACATGGGGGAGGATTGGGGCAAAAAGAGGGTTAAAGGTGTGCTTGGCTCCTGAAGGGATGTCCCATGGAGTGGCTGCAGTCGTGTACCTGGTCCCTGTCCTGACCTAGGCTGGGTGCGGAGCTCTGGGCTCTCTGAGCCAGGCTGTCCTCTGCCACCCCACAGGTCACCTTCTGGGCACATGCTTCTCACCAGCAACCTGGTGCAGGTGGGGACGGTCACGGCATTGCATGTCAGGGTCATCCCTCGCTCCCCCTGAGCCAAAGCTCCCAAAGCTGGGCTTGGCTCTCACCCCCTACCTGGCAGCTTGCGGGCAGTTTTCCAGGTTTTCCTCCCTTTCCAGGACACAGAGCAGCCAGACAGTGCCTGGTGGGTGCATCACCTGCCTGGGGTGTCTCTGGCTCTTTTGGCATCCCTGAGGACCCTGCGTGAACCCACCAAGCATTAATCATCACGCCACATGGCCTGAACATCTGCTCAAACATTTATAACCCCTCTTAATACCTGTGTTGCTCCAGTTGTCTTCGGGACACTCCATCTGATCCACCTGTCTGCCCGTGCTTTTAAAGCAATCTCACGAGACAGCCCGGAAACCTTTGCCCCTACAAAGCCACGGTGCTAAGGCAAGCCCGCAGCTTCATGCCAGTGCAGGGTCCCGGGGAGCCCACCCAGACGCAAGGATGGCTCTTTGCAGCACTGGGGAGCCAGATAAGCTTTTTGCTGTAAGAGTTTAACTGCCCAAGGTGGGGTATTCCCCCAAGTGAGCTGCCCATTTCAGCAAAGGAACCAAGCTCTCTCCCTGGGAAAACGCTGATCTCGGGGTTTCCTGCACCCCTCTTCCCTCCCGTCACTGCACAGCCTTTAAAACCTAGTGTCTCCTGAGCCCTCAGCCGAGGCTCTGCAGCTCTGCTCCTTTAATCCAGCTTCTGTGATGTGCAGACGCATGTAATGACTATTAACACTGGCTGGGAGGTCACTGGGGGAGCTCAGAGGAGCGGGGAGTCCCAGCACGGTGGAGGCAGGGTGCCTGGCTTGCAGGAAAGCCCTAAGCAGAGGGGGTGGGGGTCTGCCTTTCACGCAAAATCAGAAGTGGAAGGCAGGAACGTGTTGTGCAAGTCACATTGGCACCGAAAACTCAGTGTCTACACCTGCATCCTCCCCCTTCCCGGGGCTCTTTGGTGCCTTTCCCTAATCCCCAGCCAGGCACATCTTGAGCACCCATCTCCGGCGCAGACAGGGATTTCACCTGTGGGGTCATGCTCAGCAATATGTAGTCCTTTGAGGACATCATGGGGGTGATCTTCCCCTTTCCGTCCTGCCACAGTGTCCCCCATGGTAGCAGCAGTATCATCCTGGGGTCATGCAAGGGGCTGCAAAAGGCTTTATTTGTGAGGAGTGTTAAAAATAGGATCAGAAATGTAACTGTTAAGGCAGCAGGGATGTTGACTTTCTCTCTCTCTTTCCCCCTACCCTCTGTGTCAGATGACCTAAAGGAATTTTTCTTTGCCATGGCAAAGGAAGTCAGGAAAACCATCCTGGGCCCTCTCTCGCCCAAGTGCAGCTTGCTGGCAAATATCAAGACTGTTTTACAGCAGATGCTACCAGAGGACTCCTACCAGCTGGCTTCGGGGCGGCTGCACATCTCTCTCACGCGGGTGGTGGATGGCCAAAATGTCATGGCCTCTGAGTTCAGCTCAAAAGAGGAGCTCATTCAGGTAAAGGGACCTTCCTCTGATGCTGTAGGAAGATCCCTACCTACTGCTCGGGGTGGAGGTAGCTAAGCGTTGATGACTTTAACTACATTGTTTTCTACCCAAGATGTGGACAGTATCAGGAAGCTTTGCCAGAGCTGTGGTCCCACCACAGTGAGCTCCGTGAGGCTTGGAGGGAGGGAGGAAGATGTGGTTAGGTCCAGAGTCAGGCAGGAATAAATAATGCTAAAAAAGCAGGTTTGTTTCCAGCCTCCAAATGCTGATGCCAGCATGTTGGCCAGCTCTAATAGAATCAGAATCATTTAGGTCAGAAAAGACCTTTGACATCCTCAAGTCTAGCCGTTAACCTAGCACTGTCAAGTCCACCACTAAGCCACGTCCCTAAGTGCCAACATCTGCATGGCTTTTAAATACCTCCAGGGATGGTGACTCAACCACTTCCCTGGGCTAATGACTCTTTGCAAAAAGCTGGGTTAACGCTAACATGACCTCTCAGCTTTCTGGACAGGTGTCTCCTCAGCCAAGTCCCACTGGCAGTAATTTTCCTTGTTGCCTCAGCACTTTCCTGGGAGGAAAGAGCTGGACAAAGCATCTGTGCTGCCAAACAACAAGCAGCTGATTAACCAGTAAATTACCTGCTGGGGAAAGAATCCCAGGGCAAATCCTAACAGAGCTGACCATGAGGTTGTGGGCTTGCTTGTCCCAGGGAGACAGCAGAGGATGGCAAGTCCATGGAGATGTTGGAGTTCACCCCATGGTGCCTGCCCTAGGTCAACCCAGGAGCCCAGGATACTCATTCCCAGCTGATGAGATTGATGGAAAGTGGTTGCAAACAGCCCAGCAGTGGCTTCATCATTGACAAATCCCAGCAGAATGAAAATGCGTTGTGAGGATGTCTTGGTTTTGTCCAAAACCCCGCAAATATGAAAAATGACCCCAAAGCTTCACCTTGACACCATCAAAGGGCAGTGTTTGGACAGTGATATATAGATATACAACTCTAATATTGCCGGCAGCTATAAAAGTAAAAACCAAAGTGCTATGCCCTTCTCAAGAGAAGTGTTTCAACTTTATTGAAATGAGATGTTTTCCCCTTGAAACTTTTCTTCTTGACACAGTTAAGTGCAAAGTTCAGCCTGGCTCCAGATGATTTGTCAAGCCTGAATGTGCAGGCACCCAGTCAACAGCTTTTGTCCAGGACAACTTTGACAGGAACATTTACTTCTGCAATCCCTCTCCTCCCCCAGGCTCTCCTCTGCAGCTGCTTTCTTCCTATCTACTGTGGATTCATCCCTCCATCCTACCGAGGTGTGGTGAGTGATATTTCCAATAAAACATACTCTCCCAGCAGCATGTTCTTGGGTTTGAACTTACATTCCCTTGAGCAGAAAGGGATCTATATGTCTAGGCTGCTTCTTTAGTTAGTGGAGGATGATAAAGCCTTTTAGCTTGTTCTTCATCCCATCCTAAGAAGATAGCTGGGTGGAATTGCCATCTGGAGAGCCCTTTCCTGCTTTGCCTATGGACAGAGCCTGGATGACCAGATCTTGCCTTGCAGATCTCCAAAGTGAGAGGAGAGAACACCCACACTCGGGACTTTGACACACAATCCAGTTATCCTGGGCAGGATCTGTCTGCAGTGCAGATGTCTCTGTTAGCTCAGGTGCAGACATGCATGGCTGAAATACCAAAAGTTCGTGGGAGGATCCTCCCCCAACCATGTGCATATTTGTACTCTGAGAAACACCGCAGTGAAGTCAACAAATTCGGGCTGGCTTGTTGCTAACCCTCAGTGAAGGAGGAGCACAGCAGCGTGGTGGTGAAGCATGTGCAGATGGACTGCAGAGCAGCCGATGCACGGTGACCTGCTTGTGTGCCAAAGTCCACAAAGCCAAGATACCAGATTTGCAGCCGGTATAGAGCTAGGATCTTTCCTTGACCCTTGTTGGTCTGCACCAACTGAGTCTATTTGGTCCTCAGATGTCTGTACCTGGCTGTCAGGTCAGATCTCCAGCTTACCCTGGACTGCAGGGCTTGCCCACAAAGTGCATGAAGTTTGCGGGACCCAGAGCTCAGCGGTATTGCTGCACGAGGCTCCTCTGTGCTGTTATTTCACAAGCATTTAATTCAAACAACTGCAATCCTTGCAACCTCAAATCCCACTGAGGTGGGTGGTAAATTCAGATTCCTTTTGGAATAGAGCAAATGACATTTTCCTTGCCCAGTGAGTAATCCTCCAGGGATTTGCAGGCAATTATTAAATGCAGGAGCCCTACTGCTTGAGCTCAGGACTTGAAATTTATACGACACTGTAAATTCAGTGATGTTTGAATTGGCAAATGACTGCCAAAACAACTTTACAAAGTTTTGTGAATTAAAATAATTATATTTCTATTTTGATAACTGCTGTGGATTACAGCACCTGGTCAAGGAGCCGGCTGGGTGCCATTAGGCAGGGCAGCAGAAGGAGCTGGCAAAGGCCAGGATAAAGAGCAAGGGGTGGGAAGAGATGCCGTTGCAAGTGGGAAGAGAGGACTTGCTGGGACTGGTTCACAGCAGATGTTGCCTTTGCAGCTGCTTGCTTTCCCCTTGGTGACGCTGCACTCACACGCACACTGTACCAATCCTCAAAGCAAATCCTCCTTCTGCTTTTCCCCCTCAGCGATATGTTGATGGAGGATTCACTGGCCTGCAGCCTGTTTCCAGCTTGGAGGAAGCTGTGATCACTGTGTCCCCGTTCACGGGAGAGCTTGATATCTGTCCACGGGATTGTCCCGCTATCTTCCTCTGTTTCCAGATCTTCAACGGCAGCATTCAGATCTCGATAGAAAACCTCTGCAGGATTAGCTATGCTCTGTTTCCACCTAGTGCCATGGTAAGCCCACCAGGTCTTCTTCCCAGCTTCATTTTGGTTAAAACAAATTAATGCTGGACCTGCCTTCCCAAGCTTTAAGGTTCAGTTCAATCATCTCCCTCGTTAATTAATCAATTTTTAACGGGAGGGGGCAGTACCCACTGGTTTTGCAGTGCTCATTTTAGTGGATACTGCTGGTAGGTGGCCAGCCTGGGATTGGGTCCACGTTGGTTTGACAACCTGCAAAGGACCAATGCTTTGGTGGTTGGAAACCAACTTGTGCTTGCTACCTTCCCGAATGGGCCATCCCAACCCTCAACAGTCAAACAGCCTTGGAGAGATCCTGCCAGTGCCTGGATGGAGGGCTCTTTAGTGACCTCAAATGTTTCTCCTTGCAGGTCTTGAACGACATTTTCTCCCAAGGCTACCAGGACACTGCCCTTTTTCTGTACAGGAACAGTAAGTGTCAACCCAAGACCTGAAGGGCAGCCTCGAAGCGTGACGCACATGCAAACCTCAGCCCTTTCTTTCCATGTCTCACAGATGCCTTTGGCTTTAACTACTTTGATGGCAATTTCCGCTTTGCCAGCATGTGTGGGAAGAACGACTCTGCACAATCCAACAGGACGTGCACCAGCCTATGCAAAAGGGTACCACAGTGCCTGATTCCTTGCTTCCTGCCAGGTAGAGGATTTGGGGTACTGATCTCGGGTTTTGGGGGTGGCTGGGGCCACTGAGGGCTGCTGCAGTCTTTGAGAGGAGCAGTATTATATTTAAGACATTATTGAGTTATTTATTACAGTAAATATTTCTAGATCTGTAGTAGCCGTTTGCAAAGAGGCTTTGTAAGAGCAGCTCAAGCTGGATTCTGGCCTGGGCTTCAGTACCTACAGGCTGAGCTGCAGCAAGAGTTGCTGGACAAGAGGAATTATTGCATTTATTGGGTTATTTCTAATTAGTGGTCTTTATTTACTTCTCTGTTGTCATTCCTGGGCACAGGCTTGGCTCTGTGGAGGAAGGAGCAGGTGACTGGACTGCAGGATCCACTGTCGAAGGTCCTGTTGCAGCCATACAGGCTGCCAGCTTTCATCAGGAAGGGGTAAGAACATCTTGATAGAGGCATCGAAGCCGAGAGTGATACAGAAACCAGCAGTTTCAGGCAAGACAGCTGAAGGGACACAGTGCAAGATTAGCACAAGGCACGCAGGCGTCCCTGCAAGCCCAGTGTCGGGGTGTGCAATGGGCTGTAGCATCCTTCGGATGGCAGCTCCATGGGAAACACACGGGGCAGCCTGTGGGCAGTGCGGGCTGGTGGCAAGTCCCTCCTTTTCTACGGACCAGGGCAACCTGATGCACATCTGCATAAATAGGCTTAGCAGCATCCCCTTCCTCTGCAGGACGATTTGGTATTCCCTGAAGGCAAGCTCTTAGGGAGAGTGGGTATGGCTAGCAGGAACACCATAGGATTGCTTGGTTATGAAAAAGTGTAGTACAGTGTGCATTTACCATTAACACCCTCCCCCTTTTGCTGCATTTACCAGTCATTAAATTCGGCTTGTTTATTTTGGTTTTGCAGGCTGCAGAAGCTGTGGGGGCTGCTGGAAGGTATGAGCTCCGTGGTAAAACGGTTCCAGAAGCTCCTCCAAACCATGGTGCCTGGTTTGCCTAAGAGACCCGTGGCCAGGAGGTGAGATGCTCAGGGGATGCAGACCCTCAGTGGAGGGAGGGCAGGCTGCAGAGCAGGGAATGCCCGGGGAACCTCACCCATCAGTCACTGATGCTGAGTGTGGCTAAAAATTCCAAATCTGGAGTACCCCACATTAGAAGTAGCTAATTTTTGTCCCCATGATATTATTTATTTAGTGACATCTGAAAAAAGCTATGAACTAGCTTTGTGCTGATTCCCTATGGCGCACATTCACCAAGATCCTGAAAGGTGTTTTGGCACTAAACTCTCAAGGATTCAAGGCAGTTAACTTGTCACACAGATAGCTTTTAAGCCGTACCTCCCTAAAACCTGCTTGGAAGTTACTTCACGTGCAGCCCGTGAAAAGACTTGCACAGAATGATTTCATACTGCAGGCAGCTACACAATTCCTCAGCTGCAAAAAAGCCCTTCAGTATCAAACGCCCCTGGGGCTAGTTGTCCCTGTTGGTTCATTGACTCTGACTCAACTAACTGCCAGCTTGTTCCCTTAGGTAACCCCCCTGGATGGGCCCTGGGGGTCTCTGACGCCATGTAGTTCTGCTGCCCCGGGAAGCAGTGGGCAACACCGGAGCTCATTTAACACGGCAGCATGACTGCTGGGTTTTTTATGGAGGTTTTCGGGGGTGGTTTTTTTTTTCACTTGGGAAGCCAGTTGTTTTTATTTCCAGTGCTACTGCTGCAGTCTCCCTGCTCAGGACTGATCAGCTTTAACATGACGGCCGAGGAAAAGCACTGCGGTGCTGCATCTGTGACCAAACTGCAGTCTGCGTAGGGGAGACTGGGCATCTTGCATGCATGTACAACCCAGCCGCCAGTTTCCCTAGCCACTCCACTTGCTGATCACCAGCAGCATCCCTCACCCTGCTTTAATGCAGATTACAGGGCAAGGATTTGCCAGGAAATGCCACATTTTAAGTGTTTTCCTCCCACTCAAAAACTTGCAGAGAGATTCATCAAATAGAAAACAGAGAGAGAGAGAAGCCTTAGGGAGCATCACACTGGACAGGAACTAATTTTTGTCCCGTTCCCTGAAGTGATTTTACCAATTATTTATTCTTGAGCTTCATACACCCTCGGAGGCCTGCTTGTCCTGCCAGTGGAGGTAGGCACACATTTGGACCTCTCTGAATTTGCAGCTGTGAAGAAGGATAGAGAAACCTAAAGATTACCCCCCCCCTCCTTCAAAGTACCACAGTCTTGCAGATTGCATCTCCTATTGCACTGGAAAAGCTGACATTTCACAAATACATTAGTTCTTTTCATGCAATTTTCTGTAACTCGCTGCTACAAACAGTGTATGGTCCAGGCAGACACACCTCATGTTGCTGGTCTGTACGTAGAATGAATTGGCAGCACTCTTAATCATCCCAAATACATTTTGCACGTCAGAGGCTGATGGATTGGCTTTACCCCAGCTGAGTCTCCCCCATTTGTTGGTTCCTGATGGGCAACAAATGGATCACAGCAGCACAAGCTGTTTATTTGAAAAAACAGGTTATTTAATTGCACAAAGGGAAATGAGAAAAGGGAAGTTTTGTCCAAAGAGCCCTGGAGACTGCAGGCTTGAATGTGGGAAATAGCTGAAGGCTGCATTGATGTAAACAGATTTAAAGTTAACTATGACGCTCAGTGAAAGAATAATGTAATATGTTCTGCTATCTCTGGTTGAAATCATTGACCTGGGAATAATTTCTCTGCAATGAGCTTGCTAAAAGAAACCTGGGTGCTTATTTGCATTGGATCCATCAAAACCTACTCCTGTCTTCCTTCCGTCCTGGATGGATTTACATCTCTCAACCCCTGCAGCCAAAACTGGGCTGCTCAAAACCAGCTCATGAACTGTGACTATGTTCCTGTCACAGATCAAAGTGGAGAGAGCACAGAGACACTCATCGCTCCCTGGGCAGGAGTAGGGCCAGTCAGCCCATCATTTGGTTTTGCTCATACTGCACTTCTTTCCCTCCCAGGCAGACAGCCCCACTTCTGCAACAGCCCTTCTACCAGGCTCCTAATCTTCCTAGCAAGCACCACCACCTCCAGGCAGGATATAATAATTTCAGTCAGCCTCAGGCAGTAACACTATCCCTATTCAAATGCAAATTAAAATCCCCCAAATAAAATTCTCATATAGGAATTGGACATCCAAATCCACTAAACTTGTTTGCAAATCTCAGCCACAAACAGAAGCATAGTTTGAGCTACCCAGTGCATCCCACCTACCGCTACATGGCATGGGGCTTGAACATAAAAAGTTAGTAAAACTTTGATAACTTTAACAAAAAACAGCCTACAAGGAACACCCAAACCAAAAAAACCCAATCACAGCACAGAGCCCTCCTGCTCCAAACCTGCAAAGATGTGCTAAGATAAAAGTATTTAAAGACTCATCACTCAAATCAGCTGTCTTTTGCTTTATTAATCCCACACCTTTTCAAGCAAGCACCCCTTCTGCTATCTCCTCTGTATGAGCTTGGAGCTAATGGCAAAAGGAGGCTTTGCCAGAGGCAGTGGAGAGAGGGAAAGTTTGGCAGCTCTTTGAATCACTTTATGCAGAAGCTTGTTTCACCCCTAGGGAAGCAAGCGTGGAAATCCAGCTGCACCCAGTTCAAACCAGCTGGAATAGATCCTGTCTTCAGCCTGCAATGCCTCCTTTAAAGGCAGGTCATGGGAATCACCTGGGGGTGGGGGAAAATACAAGGGGGGTTGTGGCCCTGCCTGTGCTGGTGACATTGCTGCCACAGTGTGCTCTTCAGTGCAGCTTGGTGTCTGTCTGCAGGCTGTGTTGCAAGTTGCTCTTTCTCTCTTTAAAACATGAACTAGAGCCAAAGGCAGCAGCGGGGTCAGAAATGCTCTTCTGTGGCTGGCATGGCCCTAAACAGAGTAAAACCATGTTGGTCGATCTGACAGACACTTCTGGAAGTTCTTGTGAGACAAACTAGATTCAAATACCTGATCAGGGCTGCTTCTCTCCCTCCTGTTGTCTAGAGGGTAATAGGATAAGCAGGTTTTGATATCCTTAAAATATTGTTCTTATACTGCTGTCCTGTTGCTTGCCCTGATCTGGATCAAACTTAGCAGAGATGCGAAGCCTCAGGTGAATGGGATGAGAGTTTGGAGACAACCAAGTCAGCAGGAGCTCTCTCTAAAGCTAGACTGCACTGCAGATCTAGTGGGAAGGGGAGTCCTGGGGCATGATCCATGCAACTGAGCCAAATGAAAACAAACATGTCCAATCCTGCCTGTGTCTCTGGCTGTTGGCTGCAGGTGCTTTATGCCAGACTCTGCTTCTAGTCTAGATACCAAGGAGGGTGCAACTCTCCTGGTGGGTACATGGATAAAGAGGCAAATCCTTGTGGTTAACCTGCTAATCTAGCCTGAGCCTTGCTGGTGTGCAGGCTCCACCGCAGCAGTAGTCCTTTGGAGACATTCTGACTTATTCAGGAAAACAAGTGTGAGCTGTTGGCAGGTTTATACCCTTGCTTATTTGGTAACCACTGATATTATAGGATTGTGCAGATAAACAGCAAAATAGCCTTTTCCTGGCCTAGATCATCAGGGCTTTTACTTCCTAGAACTGAAAAATCTGATGTGCTTCTCCTCTGGAGACTGAGAGCCCTGACTTACCTCTTGGCTGCTCTCTGGCCTAACAAATGAGTCTTGACTCCTTCCACAGGTGACCTTAGGTTGGTGAAAAATGTTGCAGCCTAGCTGCAAACCAGAGACCCAGACACCTGATAGCCCAGAGCCTGCCCAATGCCCAAAGAAAACTGGTTCCTACAATGTTGCTTTCAAAAGTTCCATGCAGTTCAAACTGATGAAGCCTTTAAAAAAGCAAGCATGGAAGCAAACTGCATAGCCTAACGCTGTGTCATGCATTTCTGTATTGGGTCTCTTCCCATAGGTAGAGTTGTCTTGTTTTCAATGGAAATGTTGTCTTTGCTTTCATTTTATGCTTTTCAAGCTTTTATTTTTAGATCTGGAATGGTAATGGTGCTGTTCTTTCCCCTTTATATTCCTCATTTGGTGTGGTCCTCCTAGATATAGCAGAACAATATTTGGGTCTTTTTTCACTTTTTATTTAATCTATCTGGCAACATTTTAAACCATCATCATGTTAGAAAAGCTGCCTAATTTTTCCTAAGCTGACAAATTCTGAAATGTTGAAGGACTCCGAAAGAAAAATAAAATAAAAAATAAAATTTAAAGAAATGTTACACTCCAGCAAACACTTCTTTGTATTCCACTAGTAACAAGACAACAAACTGGAATCTGAAATGCTGAGGGTTCACCAGTTTTCAATGTCAAAATTGAAATGGGAGGGGACACTGTTTTGCGTAGGATTGCAGAAAACGAGAAGTTTTGGATTTAAACCTGCCTTATGTTGCTCAAAAATGATACAGGTAGAGGTTTACCTGCAGTTTTAATAAGATTTTCTTGCACTGAAGTATTTACACATGGCTGCACACCAGAGTTACTAAGTAGAAATTTTAATTTGCCTGGCACAGCAAACCCAGCTCTAAGCATTGAGACACTGCTCCTTCCCTGACCCTTAATTAAATGATACATGGGCAGAACCTGGTATTACCTTGCAAGGTGAGTAAATGCCTTTCTTCATAGAAAGAGCTACTTCTCCAAAGACCCCTTCTGACCTGGCCACAGCCTAAGTCCTCAATCCTCACCCAAAACAAGTTCAGCATGAGGCTTTACTAATAACCGCTGACCCAAGAGGGGACTTTCTCCAATTCCTGATGTTTTCACCTACTGGAGCCTGCAAAAACTCAAACAGCCTCTTTTGGCAGTGAGAGCCCTGAGCAAGTGTCACTTAGCTAATGAAAACTGATGAGGTAAAGGAAGTCCTGGTTCTCTACCTTCCTTATGGCGGAGAAGGTGGCGTGGGGCTTCCTCTTCCACTTCATCTGCTGCCTGGATGGTCCCTGGATTCTCTTCAGTGACATCCTCAGGGTATGTGGCTCTGGAGTGAAGTACTCTTGTTTCTGGCTTCCAGTGCAGGGTCCCTTCACCTTTCTGACAGGATTCATTGGACAATGAAAGCATAAAGTCATCATCAAGATAATTTATGCCGAATTCACCTGGTGGGAAGAGAATCCAGCTCTCACTGCTTGTTGCTCAACTACCAGGTCTCCAGCAATCTGAGGCATGACCAGGGTTGACTGGAAAACAGGGGGACTGATGACCACAGTGCATGGCTAATCTGAGTTGGGTTTCTGGGTCAGGGATCACCAAACATTGCTGCTTTGTACACCAGTGGGTTATCAGTCTAATACCACACAGGGCACCCGAGCCTGCCTACACTTCTCCTGCCTAGGTCCTGGGGACTTGTGTTCCCTGGAAATCTCTACCATGCCCAGTGTGGCAGAGAAGAGGGGACCTAACATCATCAGAGGGGAAGGGGTGAACAGGGAGCTTCAGGAGAGGCCACAGAGAGGATGGGACTCAAGTAATCCTGGCAATGCCAGGAATGCAGATGTCTCTGTCCCGGTCACTCTAGGTGCACTGGCAGCACCTCTTACCTTCTGTCAGCAAACCAATGTCGTAAGAGAAGCACCTGACCTACCTGCTCCTCACTCCCAATCACTTACTCAGTCTTTTTAAGTAGGAGACTGTGTCCTGGTAGCCATGGGTATAAAACTGGTCCAGAACCTGCAGGAGGGAGATGGCAGTCAGGGAAGATGGGCCAGCTATAGGGGCCTCATGGCTCTGGGTACCTGTAGAAGCAGCTCACTTGACGTGTGGGAAGCTGAAAAATATACTGCAAGCGGTGGATGTTTCTTTTTGATATGTGTAAAATACAGTCAGAGAGTTGGAAAGTGAAGAAGGCAGCTGGGCTATCTTTGGGACTGATGTCGTATTCGCCGGAGAAAGCAGACACGGTGATTGTGGTCCGGGACACGAAGTTGGCCCTCCACATGCCGAGTTCTCCATCAACGTAACGCTAGGAGAGAAAACAAGGAACCCTGAGCCCTCCTCTTTTCAGAGAAGAGTGCTGCATCACATGTGCATGCATTTGGGGTTTCTTCACCACCCAGTCCCAAACTAGACTGAGGTGCTGGGGCTACAGAGATCGCCTTCCAGGGAACAGCCCTGACCACTGTCCCATGTGCTCCAGGTCTACATCCACCACCTCCTCCCTTCCAGCAGAAAAACTACTCTTTAATGAAATCAAGGGAAAGTGCAGCAGAAAGGTGTTTAGCTAACCCCATGGACAGGCTGAGGGTGGATGCTTTTGTAAGAAGGTCAGTTCTCTCTGCAGTGAGGTCAGATTGTGGGGCAACCTGGGTTCAGTTCTTCCCTCTGCAGACACTGTGAACACAGCACCAAGCAACTTTGGTGGCAAACACAGGTATAAACATGCTTAATACCACCACTAGAGAAAGGACACAGGCTAGATGGGCCCTTGGCCTGACCTGGGATAGGGTCTCCAGACCACAAGGCTACTCACCACTCCACAGTACGTAGGAGGTAAAAATCCAAAATATAGAGGGATGAAGCAGCTGCATATCACGGCCTGTGGGTAAGATGGAAAGCACAGAGGTGAGCAAAGAGCCACAAAAACCTGTTGCCTTTGGGAATGGTGGCTTATCTGTGAATGCCAAAATGGGGACCCATGGCTGGGTTATTGGACACCACTGACTCTTGTGGACCAGACCATGCCTGATATCCACAGCCAGGGTTGGAGAACTAGGAAGGTAACCTGTGAAATGCCTCATTTCCCCCCCTGCATACTCAGGCCCTGTAGATAATTCAGCCAGCAATCAGAAGGGCTGATTTTCTTATTATTTTCAGCTTGTGACCCTGTCTGGCTTCAGAGGGTGGCAAGGACAGAAATCATGGCATGGACTACTGTAAGGCTCCAGTTTTCCCCTGTGGATGCCGTGGGGCACGGACAGGCAGTAAATCTCATGCACCTATTCCCCTTGCAGGATGGCTATGGCCACTCTCACCTGAATGAGGTCCTCCCTCGAGGCAAACTCTGAAACCACCACACTTCTCCAGTCGTGCACACGGGTGAGGATAACATGCAGCTTTCCAGATACCAGCTGGTGGGCGTTCGTAGGCAGATATTTGTTTAAGACTTCCCTTACAATTTTAAGGATTTTTCCTCCAGGAATACACCCCCAGAAAGTGGGTTTCAGAGCACTGAGGACGTACAGCTTCGCCTCCTCTAAAGCAAAGCAAAGCAATCATTGCATATCCCTTATGTTATTATTTACGTACTTTCTGGGCTGCACTTCCACCTGGTAAAGGGGCATTTTACCATGCTGGTAAATGCTTTTAAAGAGCTATTATTTTCATTAGGGCTGAAGCTTTCATGAGTGGACCCAGATGCTCCAAGGACTTCGATATTGCAGGAAGCAGAAGTATTTTGTTTTCTTTTCCCATTTCTCTCCATTTCTTCCACAAGACGTCTTAAAATTTTTTTGAGACATGGGAGAAAATTGACAGGGAGCCTTTGCGTAACATTTCCTCCTGTTGGCTCTGCATCTATGCCCACTAATGTATTTCTCAGCTGTGTGACCATAACTTTCTTTTTATTTCATGCAACAGCAATACTGATCCTCCCCATATTCAATATTTTCTTTCCCCTCTGTGTTTTGGGAATCTACCAGCAATCCCAAATGCCTTATTAGGGAGGGCACTTCTGTTTCTTATATTAGATATGCTTACCATTAATTCAAATTAATAAGATGCAATGACTTATTTAATAACTATATCTAGTCTGTTTTCTCTGTGCTGGTTAATTTACCCATGTTTTCCACTCTTAAAGAAATCAATAAAGTAAAATTCTGAGGAATTAACCACTGATTAAGGATAATTTAAAGAAAATGATCTTTTGCAACTCCAAAAATTTCCAAACATTTGATCTCTTTAGACACAGAATAAATGGAAGTGCATAGCCCTTACCTAGATCACACTCACACAATGCAGCTGTAGCTAGAACCGATCCTGAAGATGCCCCATAGACCTTGGATGCAGATTTCAGCATGTCAGGTGACAATTCCTGCAGAGCAGATAACACTCCAGCTTCATATGATATCAAGAAACTGCAGCCTCTAAACAGTATAGAGAAAGGTCTTCTCTCATTTCCATTTTTCTTCATCTCTGCTAACATGAAGCACTCAAGCCACAAGAAAGCAGCTGCCCGGGACAGATTTGAAGGTTTTTTCTACAGCCAGCCAATAATTAGCTGTGGCTGTTCCCAACCTGCTTCTGTTTCTGACCACACTCTTGCTGTCTTATATCTCTCTGGTTGACGTAGATGTCTAAGCCAAATGTCCAGTGAAACAATAGCAGTGGGCAGAAGTGGATGATATAATGTCTTAATACCTAAAGCCAATCATTAAAATAAAATCA